GTTTTTTTATTAGTCAATATTGGATTAAACTCTTTTTTAATCACTGTATCACTCATAGTTAAAATTATCGGTGAGTGATCAGAGTTCATGTCCCAGCCGTCATTGATATCCAGATAGTTAACTGAGATATTTTTGTAAATAAAGAAATCTATAGGTCTTTAATTTTGTTCCTATTGGTAGGCCAGTATGTTGGTCTACCAGTAGAGATTACTTCACCCTTTTGTTCCTTAACAGCTGACAATAGTTCTTTTCCTTTAGTTGTAGTTAGTCTAGAGCCCCAGCATTAAAGTCGCCACCGATGATGTAACTTTTTCCTAAAGTGTTCATAAACTCTTTATATTGCTCTTTTAATGGAGTGTCTAGGAGGACAATATATTGAAGTTATATTTAAGATACGTGTTTTCATCTTCACACAGACTGTTGTAGCTTGTATGTGCTCAGTTGCATATTTTAATTCCTCATGATGCAAGATGTTATCTTTAGTTATAATAGGGCTTTCTCCTTTAGCTAAATTATCTGGTTGTACAGTAGAATATACTCTATACCCCCTAAATTTTACATATGACTCTTTAGTGAAGGGTGTTTGAGAAACGAGACACAGATCAATCTTCTCAATATCTAGTACTGCTTGCAACTTGATCTGATGTTGTAACAGTCCATTTGCGTTCCATGCCATTATTCGGAGGTCTTTAGCCATTTCTGATTTTCGGAATAGCTCCTTTAGCGCTATGCTCTAGTCGGGTAACTTTGATATCGATTTGAGTTATTTTGTCATCAATCTTGGTGAGCTTTTCCAATATTATTTTTAAGTTTAGTAGATTTATACCTCTATACTTGTTGGGGTCTTCTTTATCTCCTTACTTGAACGTTGGTATCATTATGCTGTTTATCCATGCGTCTGGTATCTTCCAGTGCAATATTAGTTTTTGTATAAGTTTTGTCATCTCTAGAGTTATACTTTCTCCTTCGTTTTTTAGAAGCTCGTTGATTATTCCGTCTGGTCCTGGTGACGTTCTATTTTTGAGTGAATTTATGGTTATTTCTACGTTCTGAAAACTGATTTATATTTCGTGTCTTAATTCAGGTACATTATTGTGTTGATTTGTGTTGATGCGAGAGGGGTTAGGCAAGGATGCGTCTTGTCTCCGACGCTTTTCAACGTGTACTCACAGGTCATATTCAGAAAAGCCTTATGGGAAAGAGAAGAGGGAATAAGAATTGGTGGAGAAATCATAAACACCATGAGATTTGCAGATGACACGGTAATTATGGCTGAGAGTATAGAAGATCTACAAACTTTACTAGATGCAATAAATAGTGAATGCATTCAAATGGGACTTGACATCAACACAGATAAGACCAAATTTATGATAGTATCAAGGAGTCCAATAAATAATGAACAACTAACTCTTGGTGGACAGCAAATAGAGAGAGTGACAAAATATAAATATCTGGGGGCTTACATCAACACAGAATTAGATCCAGACCAAGAGATCCGGGTACGAATAGAAATGGCAAGGGCAGCGTTCTTAAAATTCAAACAATTGTTCTGTGACAAAAATCTGAATATTGCGCTGAGACTGAGGTTTGTTGAATGTTACGTCTGGTCGCAATTATTGTACGGGGTAGAAACATGGACACTAAAAGCGCAAATAGTTAAAAAGATTGAAGCCTTTGAACTTTGGATATACCGGAGAATGTTGAGAATTCCATGGACTGCCAGGGTCACCAATGAGGAAGTGCTGAGAAGAATGGGTCGAGTCAAAAAATTGATGAGAACGATAAAAGTACGCAAGACTGCATACCTTGGACACATACTAAGAAATAATAAATATAGTCTTCTGCAGATCATCATGCAGGGTAGAGTCGATGGCAAAAAGGGAATAGGTAGAAAGAGGAAGTCATGGCTGCGAAATATTCGAGACTGGACAAACATGACTGTAGACGAATTATTCCACGTTGTAAAAGACAGAGAAGCTTTTAAAAATGTGGTCGCCAACCTCCGTTAATGGGGACGGCATAGGAAGAAGAAGAATTGTGTTGATTCTGAATACCATGGTGTATTAATTGTTGTTGTTTCTTTTGTTCCGTATGACTTTGCGTTTTTTCCTAGAGCTTCTGTCTTCTCTCCATATCTTCCGTGTCGTTTATTTGTTTCAACTGTATCTTCTGTGCTAGCCTCCTTTGGTACATTTCTCTTGTAGAGTCATTCTACAGTAATTCCACATTGAATTTTTCCTCGGTGATTTTCTGTAGAAAATGTTTTGGTGTTATTTTCATTCTTATCTTTGCTAGTACTAGTCTGTGTTCACTCCCTGCGTCTGATGAGTTTAAAGTTCGGATATCTAGAATTTACTTTGGGTGGATTTTTCTGAAAAATGTATTATTAAAAAAAGTTTTTAAGTACTTGTATGTTTTTATACCAAAATACACAATTGTGAAGTGTTTTAAGTTCTGTATTTTTTATTTCTGTATGATTTTTGCAAATATCAGGAAGATTTTAAACGTTGAACTCAGTTTCTGATAAATTTTGCTAAATAATGCAAAACTTGTTGCTGAGTTTGTTCCCGTTTAATAAAAAACTATCTAAACTATCACTAGCGATGAACCAATCCTATTGCCAAGTTAACACCAAAAATTAATTTAACTGAAGTAGATATGACTCAAAAAATAAAGAGTAAATTGTTATCATTCGGTTTTTTTTGTCAAGGTTTAGTATAACCTATTCTTACTATCTTGCAACGGGCTTTAGTGGTAATATTTCATAAAAGCACACAACAGCCACTAAACATATCTAGAAAATAATATTCTTAGAACCTAATTAAGGAAATTAGATAAAATATCCAAGTAAAAGTCATTGTTACAAAAAAATTAGAAAGTTGAGAAATTCTTGAAGTACGGATTTTGATTCACCTTTATTAAATATTATTTTAGCAAAAAATGTTAAAGTTTCATTAAATACTCTAGTCGTCAGAGACGCAAATGTTAATGAACCTCTAAAAATCATACGAACAAGCTAAATTTTGCTGAGAATAACAATTTCGGGATCCCAAAAAACATGCAAAACGGCTTCCCTCTAAAACCCCAAAACCGGAAACGGGAAAAATCAATTTAACAAAAATCTGTATGTTTACATATACTTATATACGAGTATATATATATATATATATATATATATATATATATATAATATATATATATATATATATATATATATATATACGTATGGGACAAAAGTTATTTTCTATATTACATCACATTATATATTGTTGCAAGATCCACCATATTCACCAGATTTAATACCGACTGATTCCTTGCAGTTCTCATATTAATGAAAATTCGTGCGTAGTAAATAAATACATACTGCAACGGCGTCTAGAAAACTTTATAAGTTGGCAAATAGCACCTGAGCAGGCTGGATTTGTAAAGGGCAGAGGTACTAGAGAACAAATCCTTAATGTACGAAACATCATAGAAAAAGCCAGAGAGTACCAGATCCCGATATTTATATGTTTCGTCGATTATACAAAGGCCTTTGATAATGTGAAATGGGACAAACTATGGAACATATTGACGACAATGGGTGTACCTAAACACTTGACTCACCTTATTAGCAAACTGTATCAAGATAACCTGGCCTATATTCGAATGGACGGATATCTGTCTGACAAATGCACTTTGGAGAAGGGAGTACGCCAAGGATGCCTTTTATCTCCCGTATTATTTAACATCTATTCGGAGTTCATAATGCGCAGAGTTTTGGATGGTGGGGAGGGAGGAGTAAACCTAGGTGGTGTTAAGATATCTAACTTGCGTTTCGCAGACGACACTACACTTCTAGCCTCTACTCCAGAAGAAATTACTAAATTATTAAAAAAACTCGAGGTAGAAAGTGCTAAATTTGGACTCATGGTTAACTACAACAAAACCAAAATCATGGTTATTGATCGCCAACAACAGTTTCCTGAAACCCAAACTATTGCGGGATGCGAGGTAGTCTCATCTATGATATATCTTGGAGCTCTAGTTAACAACACAGGCAGTTGTGAATCCGAAATTAGAAGACGCATTCAACTAGCAAGAGCAGCAATGAGTGAACTAAACGGGGTCTCGCGTGATCGTCACATTACTATGACAAACAAAAAGAGACTCGTTTCAACTCTGGTCTTTTTCATATTTTACTATGCATGCGAGACATGGACAGTCAAAGAATCAGATCGACGACGTATAGACGCCTTTGAAACGTGGACATGGAGACGCCTGCTTCGAATTCCATGAACGGCTCGCCGTACAAATATCTCGGTTCTGGATGAAATTAAACCGGATCAGCGTCTCTCTAGTACCGTTTACTCTAGAATTTTAAAGTTCTTTGGCCATATCCATCGAAGTGATCACAAAATGGAGCGGTTGGTGGTCCAAGGAAGGCCTCAGACTCAACGCCAACGCGAAAGATCTCCACAGCGATGGGCGGACATTACTAAAAAGCTTCTCAATAAACAGTATACTGAGGCAATACATATAACTGATGACCGCGACCAGTGGAGAAATATTATCAATCAAACTGTCCGAGCTGCTGAAGCCCAATTATGAACCACAACACATCTACTAAGATGTTAGTGACTGTGATGATGAAATAAATTAGGAGTTAATAGCAGCGATGAAAGCGAATATTATGATTCATTGACGAATATTATTTTATTATTATTGAATATTTTTATTATTATTATTCGGTATCCAATAATCATTCACTGACGGAACTAACAAATTAGAAATTTACTGGAACAAGTTATTCAGGAACCTATTACATATTTATAATTTTTATTTGTTTTATTAAATTAGCGACGAACTTTGCGTTGTTTCGCCGCATCCCATCCCAAAAAACCTTGGCAGAACTTTCCTCATCCTCTTGGAGTCACACTCCGGTGACCTAGTGGGGGCCGACACGCCATCGTGCTCTTTAAACTTACAAGAAGTAAATCGTCATCATCGCTTCTGTCCGCGATGTACTGACTAGAGACTATACTCGCCAGTTCACTGACTCGTCTTCTCCGGAGCGTTACCACAAGGAAGTCGCGATTTTATATCCGGAGTTTGTAGTCGGCCGATTCGCGGTGTTTTGGTTTTATTTAGTGGGTGAAAATGCAGGTTTTGGAGCTACAACACGATGACTACGTAAATATATTTTTATATATAAACTTTAAAATTTAATAAACATGAGATTGATCATTTTTATAGTTAGCAAGTGAATTATTTTGAATCATTTTTGAACCACTGTTTGTAATTCCAAATATTGAGTTTACTCAAAAATACATTTCGAGCACATCAAAAGCTTCTTTAGGTAAATTAGTCCAGGTTGTGAGGCCGCTCCCGTTGGGAAAATGTTTCTGATTCGGTTTCTTCGCGGATTCCGGTTCAAAAATGTCCCCTTTAAACAAATCTGAAGGGTGCCGGGCGAAATTTTTGGGCAGAAATTCTTTAAACAATTTTTTTAAACAAATTCCAAAAATATTTTTTTTTAATCTGGATATTATTTTTTTAGGTTTTTTGGGTCATTTTAAACAAAAAAGTTTTCTTGTCATTTTTCTCCAAAGTTGATAGTTTTCGAGTTATAAGTGATTTAAAGTCTGAAAAACGCAAAAATACGCATTTTTGAGGCTTGAAAACATATATGTAAATTATTATTTTTGAGGTTATCAAGTGTCTAAATTGAAGTTTAAACATTCAACTTTAAGATTGTGAAGAGTAATCGGGGCTTATTTTAATTTAGACCGTTGTTTTTTAATTGTTAATTATGCGCATACACTCAATTTTTCAGCCGACGGGACGCGGCGCGGCGCGCTATCGTGCGCCTGTATCGTACTTATGCATAGTTTACACATACTCACACATACTTACAAATAATTATTATTTATTGAGTATATATTTATTTATATCAATTGAGTTATAATATAAATTTCGTAAAATATAAACTACATTTTATTTATATATTTTATATAAGTCTAATAATAGTTACATAAAATAATTGTACAAAAGATTGTTAAATAACACACTAATATCACTCAGTAAAAGTATCTTTATTTTCACAAAAATCTAAATTACATCCACATAATGGTACACAGTTGACATGATTTTTTTGCAGTTGCAAGCATTAGTTTTGCAAGTCTTTTTGCATTTGCACGGTTTCACCAGTGTTTCTGGTAATGGGTTTTGAGTTATGAATCTTAGTAATAACCCACCACTATCAGACATATAATATCCATATTGTGTAAAATCGAGAGTTTGATAGCGAGAATATATGGCATTTCGCCAAATATATGTTTGAGCGAAAGCTCTTAACAAGTGTTGGTAAAGTGCGTCAGAGGTACAAGGTATATTGACTAGATTAATTCCTAAGCCACATGATCTGTTAAAAATTGTTTTTCTTGCATCATTTACGGATTCTCCCGTTTTGCCTATTAATTGCAAGTACAGTTTTTCTAGTGTTTTAAACTGTGTAATGTCAAACGAACTTATTCCAAACACAGAAAGTGCTCCTAAATATAGTTTTTCTGAATCAATTAAATCCAAAGCATTTTTTTCGTACCTACTTTGCTTGTTGTGTCACAGCCTGTAATTGCATGTAATGCTGGTAAGATTTCGCACACTGCTGGTGAAAGAAACTCAGCTGCAATGTGACAAGCTAGAATTCTTATAGCTAGTATCTATCAAATAAGCTATAGTATCTGTCAAAAACCACATGTATTCGAGCAACCTTTGAATCTTTAAAAAACGATGTAATGTACATCGCGATGTACATATTACTTATTGCGATGATTGATTTATTTAATTAACCCAATGACAATAATTAATACCTACATAAATAAATTATGGAAAAAACTATGTTAATAAACTTCAAGTATTTGTTCGGATTTTTTTTGCGTAAGTATATGTAAACTATGCATAAGTACGATAGAGGCGCACGATAGCGCGCCGCGCCGCGGCGGCTGAAAAATCGAGTGTACGCTCATACTTAACAATTAAAAAACAACAGTCGAAATTAAAATAAGCCCCGATTACTCTTCACTTCATTCTTTTCTTGGTCTGCCAATACTTCTTCGTCCAGAAAAATCGAAAATACAAATAAAATCTCATATTTTAAAAATAAAAGGACTAAAACTAAGATCAATATTTAATGTAAATGAAAGGTGTGAAACATGTTTTGTACAAGGTTACATTGCAGCTCTGACATAGCGTGGTGGTTCGTTTTTCTGTTTTTTGCGAAGACCATCGTTGAAATATTCTACGGGTCTTTTATTCGATAGGTAAATGATCTCCCACCTTGAACATTTATTTTTGTTTGCTGGAGGACGTCCAAGTGAAGTCGAGGCTTTTATTTTAACAGCAGTACATGGCTTCTTCCTAATATTCCCAATTTCTCAGCTATACTAATTAGAAAAAGCAAAAATGGTGTTTTTTCTTTTTAGATCATTGTGTAGTACATGAGAATTTCTAACAGCCATCATCAGATGGCTGTTACACCATGGCTGTTTCCACCCTACACGATGGACTGACGATCTTAAAAATATGTCAAGAAATTGGATAAAAAGTGCTCAAAATAGAGCACAATGGACAAAAATGAGGGAGGCCTATGTCCAGCAGTGGACGCAAAGGGCTGGGTGATAATGATGATGATCATCAGAAAGCGATAAAATACTTTCTTGCTAATTAGGCGGTCTTGGTCTTGTGAAAACGCAAGAACAAGACCAAGACTGCAAGACCACTACCAATTTTGGGCAACACTACTTCGTACCCATATTTTTATTCCCTGTTTGATGGGTTTCATAGGTAAGAACTGTTTTAGGGAAGACCTTCCTTTAAATTTCGCCATTAACTCATCAATGCTTTGAAAAGCCGTTTCTGTTCGATATTTTGGAAATGTTAGTTTTAGACAATTAGCGACATCCTGGATGTAATATAATTTTCTCGCGTTGTCAGCTTTTACAATATCAGCAAAATACATTTTGGCAAGGGTCAGTTTACAGCGTTCTCGAGAAATCACCCTTTTTTATTCCTAAATCTCCTAAAGAATCATTTTGTGTCCAATAATCATTGAAAGATGGAACTCGATTGTAGTGTGACACGCAATACAATCATAATTTTATGTTCATCGGTAGGAAATCTTTTTTTCTTGGTGTCGCTTTCAAATTTCTCTAAACATAAGTTCGTACAATGTGCAATATGTCGAATGAGGCTTCTGGGAAAGTGTGAGGAAGAGTACAATCGATTTTTTTCTGATGTAACCGAAAAACGTATTAAAAAACTTCCATCGTTATGAAACTAAATACCTGGTTGTTACGTAACTTCGCATTCTTCATAATTGTCGTCACTACTGCTTTCTTCTTCACTTTCGTCACTTATCATCTGATTCTCTTCATCCATCTTATTGCCCTCGGAACCTGAATCTATTTCGTGACGCTATCGTTCTACTTCTTCTTTGCATCTTGATGGATTGTAGTCTTCATAATCGAAGCCAGTAGTTTCAAAAGGATCGACCTCTGATTTTGTATCGCTGGCAATAATGGCTGCTGCCTCCTGAAACACATTCCACAGACCAACATCACGGGCAAATACAGTGCGAGGAGGCGTTGCAATGTTGCTGCTTATACAAATTATTCTAATTGTTATTAAGTTCTTAAAAAGTCAGTTACGATAAAAATTCATGTACAGATTTAGTCCAACAGACTTGATGATGTAATGACTGGGATGCATACGTCCAGTCAGACTCCAAAGGGTTGGGACTAACAATTTAACCATATTTTTAATAATGAAAAACAGGTTCTTTGATTCGTTTGCTTGGTTTGCTCGTCGGACGATATTGTTGTAAATAATTTAAATTAGCTTACCTTTGCATTAAAAGTTCACCGCCATGAAATATAGCATATTAGGAGCAGTGTTGCCACTACAACTAACAGACATACTGTATATTAATGAGCGGGATGTTTGCATAGAGAATTTAAGCTGTATTTCATTCACCCATAGTTTCCATTTCCCCTGATTGACCCCATACATTTTAAAGTTATCTACTTTAAAACGTATAATATATTTCTGAATTGTTAATAATGAATGAGTCAGATAAAATTAAATTATTAAAAAAAATTTTTTTAAGGTTAAACCAAAACAAAATGTGTTTAAAAATTTTTAATGTTTTGTATTTTGAGAACGATTTCCGAAATGGAAATCTAAATGTCAAATAAACTTATTTTATAGTAAAACTGTGGCTTATTACCAATAAAAATAGTAAATTACATTAATATGCCCCAAAAAATAGCTTCAGAACTATATTCTTCCATATTTAAGTCTACTAGAGTTGTTTTAACTATTTTCATATTTTTCGTTTTATGGTATTTTTAAAAGTTTTGGTCCAAATCCACTTCTTCCTTTTTTGTTGTATTTGACTTTCTTTTTAGCATTATCTCATTTCGCATTGGTTGTTCTTGGTTTAAACACTTAAAAAATATTATCTTCTAAATAATAAGCACTTACTTTTACCTGTGTATTTTGTAGTTTTCATTCAAGTGGAACAAGTGAATGGTTTTTTCCTAAATAAAAAAGGATTCATAAGATTCACGCCTCCGTGGTCGTGAGAAACGTATTAAAACTAACCACTTTTGTGTAATTATTTTAACAATTGACAATAAAATGTCATTAGAAGTAAATTCTCTTAAAAGATCTGCTTGAAATGGTATTTAGTGACTGGAAATTAGAGTTCATAATGGCTGGCCGTGATTTCTTAATTAATACAAATAAAAACTGAATATTGCAAGGAATTCTACAGAAAAATTTGGTGTAGATTTCGTTTTTGGCACAATAGTCTATTTTCGACGATCTTCAAGAAATATCTTTACGGGTACACAGAGAATAGAAACCATATTTGTAATAATGCGTTCCAATTAAGCATATTTGTGAATTTGACACCAAAGTAGGACACTGACGGTCTAAAACTGAAACGTTTTTCGTTGAGTATTATGTGGTTTCGTTGTTTTAGCTCTAGTCTGGAGCATTTGGGATTTTTGAAGAGATTGAGTTGAGTTTTTTCGAGATGATCTGCTTCCCAAACATTTAACACCCCATACCATAATGCTTGCTTGTCTTGGCTAGTCTATATTTCGTCTCTCACGTCAAAAACGTCTTAG